GCTAATTTGCTTGCCCTTTTCTATATTGCAAGCCACAAATTGGTCAGGAGCTAAAGTGAGGAGTGCAGATTTCCAACAAAGTCAGGGCATACAGTCACAAGCAGGGGGTGTTGGTGTTATTGTACCATACATTTGCTGGATGCAGTGCTTCCTTACTGTCTGGTTTACTGAAATGACACACCCAGAGGAGACAGGTTCTTCCTTACAAGAAGCTTGCAATTAGGAGATGGCTCTTTCTGCAGAATGATGAACTTCTCTTGTGGGGAAAAAAGTCAAAGCCAATATAATAGGTCCCTATATAGAACATTAATGACTGTTTTCCTCAGATTTTAATGGGACAAGGATAGAAACAATAGACTTCTATTTTTTTTCATAATGGGATCAGGCTTTGTTTCTCAATACACATGGAGAAACAATTACATATCTATGTACTGTGTAGACAGTAGCAAAGCACATAAACAGATGCAGTAGGAAGTTTGCATCAAACTGCCAGAGGACTTGCTGTTACAGCCAAAGTTAGATTCTGTGAGCTGGAGGAAGTAAAAAAACAAACAAAGAAACAAACCCAAACACCCCAGAAAAACAAACAACAACAACAAAATTCCAAAGCAAAACAACTATTGGCTGAAATTGTCAAAATTATCAGAGTCATGTTTTGGGCACCTAACTCTGCAGTTTGAAATCTAATAAGCTATAATGGTGCAGTTAATGCTTCAGTCACATTGTGCAGAACCATTGTCTCTCGTGAGTAGTCTCTCTTTCCTAGTGACCTGCTTTGTAGTTCAGAATAGAGTAGGTCTGTAAACCTCTCTTCCTTGTAGGACTTCCATTGCAGACGTTACTGAAGAGTATTCTGCTAGCTCTAAACTTTACAACAGTTGATGCATCTCCCTCTTTTCCAGATGGGAACAATATGCCTAGACCCTCTTCAGGATTTCTTTTTTTTTTCCTTTATTCTTGAGCAGATGTGTTAGGTGTCCAAGATGCAATGAACAGAAAGTCAGTGCAGATGGAAGGTAGAACAATAAGTGAGGAACAAATCTTTTTCTGACAGAGGTAAGCAAATCCGCACGACTGCTAAGTCTTTTGCACACTTCCCTAAAGAAGAGGAATTACTAAAATTTGAGTCATTAGAGAAATCTGCTTGTACATTTGCAGTGAGTGTGTGGATAGGTCTCAAATAAATGTTTGATCTTGGAGTGCTTGTTGGCTGTGGAAAGTTCCTCATTTTCATTGCCTGCTCCCTCTTCACACCACCATTATTTTGCCTGCATTTAAATTCCACTCATCGATGATTAAAAGAGGGAATGAGGTGCTTGCTTTCAGCAGGCATATAAGGATAGGATTATTCCTCTTACTGACTGTGTAGAAGACGAATGTGTTGCTGCTGAATCACTCTTTGTAGGCACCATCAGGATTCTTGAAAAAGTATAGCTCTTCTCTCTGACGAGATTTGGCAGCAGGGGAGAAAGCAGCACCATCTTTTTCTTACCTTTTAACTTTCACTGTAGAGAGTACATCTGACACATTTTTCCTTCAAAGTAATTTTAGTTCCTTCAGAGCCCATACTGCAACTGTCATTGCTTTACGTGCAGTGAAACCAGCCAGCTGTGTGCCTTCTGCTGTTGATGCCATGTGAGGATCTGTTGAAAGGGCCCAAAGCGCCACTGCATTGCAGGGGATGGATTGTGCAGAATCCATCCTGCCATTCCTGTTCCTCCAGAGCAGAGCAGCAATGAGCAGTGAGCAACTGAGGCTTCTGGGGAATTCCCTGTTCTGTAGCAGAGTTTGTAACTGTGGAGGAAAACTGGCTTGAAGCAATTGCCTTCTTGCGCTGTCTTTCAGTTGTATTTCATAGAAAAAAGAGCAAGTCAGTTCATTGAAAGACAACCTTTCTCAACGTACTTCATAGACAAAGTCATAACACAGCACACGTTCTTGACCCAAATTGATTCTTTATCGCTCTTCTGCACCCTTCTCACCCGGATGGTTCTTCAAGTGCCAATGCCCCTCTTATACTTCATTACTTTAACATGTAGATTGGTGCTCTTTCTTTCTAGTGCAACAGCTGCCAGTCCGCTCCCGTATGAAGCTGTTGCTTGGGCAGTGGCATCAGCTAGAGTCTTCAGTACATTTGTTACTGGCCCCAGAAAGCATGATTTCCAGAGACACTCTTGCATGGGATGGGCAGGGCTTGGAAGAAGATGGGCATCATTACTGATGAAATTCGAGTGCTTGCACATACCATTTTTATTACTGTGTTTTACTGGTAAAAGTCCCCTTTGGCCCTAAAGTTTGCTCATCAGGCCACTCATTTCACATTGTGTTTGCTTTTCTACGCAGACATAAAATTTCCCATCACAAACAATATACTGCTACTTAGTACCTAGCTAATAAATACAAATCAAATGCTTGCTCCAAAATCTAATGTCTTGTTGATGATAATATTTGCTATTGTCAGTAGTTTATGAATCTTATAATCTCTTTTATGGGATTACCACATATTTGTTAGATGGGTCCCTAGACTATTTCTGCTTCTAATCACACACAGCAAGAGTTCAGTGGCTGATGCTGAGAACTCATTTTCCGTAATAGCTTCAGACTTGCCCTCAGCTCAAGATGAATAGATGGCTGTGAATACTAAGTGAGCCAAAAATGTTCTGGGATCTTTCTTTTGGAATAAAATTAATTTGTTGGTTTCAGAATCTCTGTTGACTTCATAAGCTGTTGCGCTTTATTAATTTTTCACACCTTATTTTTGGCTGTGTGGATTCTTTCCCATAGAACAAGGCTGGCAGGGACAGAAAAGATTAACGAGGGGGAAAATGGAAAGTCACCACTGCGAATGGAGCCTCCAGCACACCAGGTGCTTCAAATAGCTTTCATGATAATAGCAGCTGAAGCCTAGTGAGTCAAGAATAGTACTACAGGATCCTAAAACTGCCCTCCGTCTAGAGCAGGAGAAACTTGCTAGTGGTCCCATTAGGGGAAAATAGGAAATCAAGTTTATTAAAGCAAAATCAGTATGCTTTTATTTGAATTTCTATCAGTGCTGCTTTACAGTTTGGTCTGTGAGCTTTCCCTTAGAAGGCTGTGTTAGACTCTGACTTGGCAAGTGTGGAGAGAAATCAAGCTGAGAAGGAAATAGGAATTCAAAGTGTCAGACAAGCTTAGCTGTGTGCTTTGTGATTGTGAGATAATTTTGAATAGAAGATAAGCCTTATTGGTACATTACAAAAACTCACTGGCCAAATCTGATCTGTCAGAGGCTTGGAGCTGCTGCATTCCAGCAAGTATTACCTACGGAGGCAACCAGGTGGAGGAGATGAACCCCAGCAGGCACTATGGAAAGAAAGGAGACAGATCAGTCCTCATCAGAGGAGAAGATACCGTGCATTTCGGGCCATGGGAGGAAATGTGACAAGAGCTGATGGCACAGGTTGTCCTCACAGGGGGTGCTTTCTCTCCCACAAGGTTCTGGATGGGCTGGAAGCCCTCACCAGACCTTGTGCTCACACTACAATTGTTTTTCGTCTTGAAGCCCATACCAGTGTTAGGCATAAAAGAGTAAACAGGTTGTGTCTGCACTGGTTTGGGGCTTTTGGGAGTTTTATCTTTGAGTAGTCAATGCCATTTATACCTTATGGTCCTGCTGTATGTGGACTCCTTGACAGCAACCCTTGTATTTTTAGGACCCTATGCAATGTGACAGAAATACTGTTTCTTTCCTCTCCCTTCCCTCTCAACTTGTGACTTCATCTGTACCTCAGTAGATCCTTGCTTGTTATTACTTCCCAGAAAATGATGACTGCTCCCCTTTGTGGTTTGGGTCCTGCTTGATGCCCAACAAGGCCACCCTTGACACCTTCATACCCAAGCAACTCTCTTAGAACAGTTTTTCTAAAGTTTTTGCCAAACTAAAAATAGGCATTGGAAGGAAGCTGCAGAAACTTTGCGTTCATAAATGTGTCTGAGGCTGTATTATCTTCTTTAGTACTCAAGGAGTGAACTTGACTTTGTTGCTACAGCATTTGCTGCTGCCAACCCCTTTATCCCTTTTCCGTTCCCTCCCAAATGTATGGATTATTCTCTGTACCTGGGTAGAGGCAATGTGTATTACAGCAATGTGTAATTTATGAATAGAAATGTATGTGCTGGCACCACTTTTTTTCTTTGGAAGTTACTCTGTGGTGAGTTAGACCTATGTAAACAAGAGGTTTTGGTTCACCCATGTTTAAAGAACAAAGAGCTGCAGCAACTGGAAACACTGCATCTTCTTATTTAGAATATTTTTGCAAGATTGTGTTTAACATTCCTTAAACAGTGAAATAAATGTAAGCAAACATAAGGAGTAAAGTTCCTATTTCTGTGTCTTTTTAGAAAATATGAATATCCAAAGTTGTGAGGCTTTAAACTGCTTGTTCTCATTAGTCCTGCACAGCTTGTTACTTGTGTTTTGGAACCATTGCTTGATAAAGCAAGGACTAGAGTCCCAGTGTTTGAGGAGCATGCACCCACTCATACCCTGAGCTCCTGTGCGGTCTCTTGAGATTGATTGTTTAAGGCAAAGGTATGAGAAGTGGTTTTATTGCTGTGTCAACAAGTACAGGTAACACCAACAGAAAGACATGCAAATCTGAAGAAACACTTCCAACTTGGGTCCCGAGTTGAGAGTCTATGAACATTGTAAAGGATGAGTAGTTTAAGGACTTTTACAGGGCAGCAGCAACCAAGGGCAGCTCATGGCAAACAACTAAACCTCCTCCTGTGTCTGAGTACTACAAGCACTGCCAGATTCTTGGCCTCTAGTCCCATGTGGTTCATGCTTTAAAGGGTGAAATCTGTCCTATTCCAAATTTACCAAGAGGAGAAAATGTACAGGCTTTGCTCTGTGAACAAATGACTTGGTATGTGATGGCTTAAAATACTAAGGAGTGGGGAGACCTGTGCTTTTCTTTAGTTTTTTTTTCATGTTATTCTATTTACTGATTTGCTTATAGGTGTGTAGAAGTCTTTTACATTTACTTCCGTGCTGGTAGAGTCGAAGAGCCTTACGTCAGCATCACGAAGAAGAGGCAGATGCCCAAGGATGGGTACTCAGAAGAAATTGAGAAGGAAGTGGGTCAGGCGGAAGGCAAGCTGTGTACACACAGGTCTGCGTTCAGCAGGGCCTCTGTGATCCAGGCGTTCCTCGGCTCAGCACCCCAGCTCACACTCCAGCTCTACATCTGTGTCCTGCAGCAGGAGATCACGGCTGCCAGAAGTAGGTAGAGCTGTTATCACCTCCATGTTTTGGTGGGAGGGAGGGGAGAAGGGTCAAGCAGTCAGGTTTAGCTGCCCTGGGCAAGCAGCAGACATATAGAATCATAGAATCCTCTAGGTTGGAAGGGACCTTAAAGATCATCTAGTCCAACCATCAACCTAACTCGGACCCAAAAAAACCCACCAAACCCCACAACACAAAACAAAACACAAAAACATACCACTAAACCATATTCCCGAGGACCATGCAAGAAAACCAAACCCCACAACACAAAGCAAAACACAAAAACATACCACTAAACCATATTCCTGAGGACCATGTCAACCTGTCTTTTGAACACCTCTAGGGATGGTGCCTCAACCACTTCCCTGGGCAGCCTATTCCAATGCTGGATAATATTGCAATGGGTTTCATCTTTCCGAGAGCTTTTGATGGCAGTGTTGCTCTCAAGTTTATGTATACGATTGTGTTTTAGGCTATGGTGCTTCCTGTAGCATGCTTGGGTTGCTATAAAAACATTAATTTGATAAGTGGCCATTATGGCATGAGAGGGAGGCATCTGGAGGGACTGAGCCATCTTTGTGAAGAGGAGGAAAAAAAAAAAAATTACCTTTGTACCATTTTTGAGCAAACTTTCTGTGGAAAATTCCTTAGGAAACAGTGTAGAGCATGTTTTTCCATGCTGCATTAAGGAAGGTGTACTGTTAGGAATGCAGTTTCAAATGTGGAGTGAGGACATGAACTGTCTTGACTTGTGCCAGACCCTGAATCTGGAATCAGAAGGCAGGTCTCAGTAAGGTGGTATGCCAATGTCATCTCTGAACCCAAGGTTTTAAGCCTTCACCAAGCAGTGATGCACCACATGGTCATACCAGGACCCATCTCTTAATGTGGGACTCTGCATTTTGCTCAATAATGAGCTTCAGCTCCTTGGGAAAAAAAAAAAAAAAAAAAACCTTAGGAAACAGTGTAGAGCATGTTTTTCCATGCTGCATTAAGGAAGGTGTACTGTTAGGAATGCAGTTTCAAATGTGGAGTGAGGACATGAACTGTCTTGACTTGTGCCAGACCCTGAATCTGGAATCAGAAGGCAGGTCTCAGTAAGGTGGTATGCCAATGTCATCTCTGAACCCAAGGTTTTAAGCCTTCACCAAGCAGTGATGCGCCACATGGTCTTACCAGGACCAATCTCTTAATGTGGGACTCTGCATTTTGCTCAATAATGAGCTTCAGCTCTTTGAAAAAAAAAGTCCTGATTTTCTGTCTGGCTGCTAAATGAAGAACCTACTCCAGCTGGCCATACGACAACCAGATTTTCATTGGTAGCTGTGTGAACTGGGGGTATGCTTCCACTGAAATATAGAATAGCTATTGTTATATCTCTGAGGCCCTGAGAGGCCAGAGATCTTTACTAGCTTCTCCACGAGGGAGGTTTGGGTGACACGTTAGGAATCTGAATGCTATCTTCAGTTCTGGTTGGTTGTGTACCAAGATAAGGAACAAAGATTTTTTTGGAGGAGCCTTTATAGCAATGTCAGGGTTCTTCCCTCCCCTCAGGGAATGGAAAACTTTAGAATGCCAAAGGGTGAGCCAGCACATAAGGATATTATAACAGGTTAAGGTTTTATACAGAAATACTTGTTTAAGGTCATAGCAGTAGTTGCTTGAAAGACATTGCTCCTGACAGTTTGTGAGTACTTCACAGCCAAGGTAGGCTCTTTGAATAACTGTGGATCTGTGCAATTAGCAGAATTTTCAGTCACTTTGCTGCAGATGGCATTTGCTTGAGAAAGGTCACCTTTTTATTTTATTTCTTCTATTACCGGTGTTGATCTTACTGGTCATGATTGCCAAGGAGAAGCGCTGTATTCCAGATGATTAGCTAATTGCATATTGAATAACGATTTGTAACTGTCTATTACTTCTTTTATCAGTCACTACTGAGACAAATTCTGACTCACAGACTTGATCAGTGACCTTCTGTGGGTGAAGTTAAACAACCAGAAATAAGCTGGCTCACCAGGGAGTTCAGTGAACCCACCAGCAAATGCAGTAGTCATCTTGTGTCTCCCAGAAGCCATCTCTGTAGCAGGTGTAATTCTTAAATTATAGAAATCAAAAGGAAAAAAAAGTGCTGGTTTTTTCTTTAATCAGTGATTTAGGAACACTGGCGATGTCAGTTCATTTATCAGAAAAACAAGAGTCATAATCGTATTCCTCCTGTGTGCATTTATATTCTGAAATATTGAAACTTTCTTCAGTGTCTTTAGCTGGCTTATTTCTGCAGAACTACCTGTTGTCCACCACTATTATTTGGCCTCCAGAGTAAATGGTAATGATGCAGAGCACAGTTTTAGCTTGGTTGTTATGTGTACACAGCGATTCTTCTGTATAGGCACAGAACTTCAACCATTTGATCTTGCAGCATCGTCAAATTAATTTAACAGCTAGTCCGAAGTGTTGTTTTTTTTCTTTCATCAGTGATTTAGGAACACTGGCAATGTCAGTTCATTTATCAGAAAAACAAGAGTAAGTGCTGGTTTTTTCTTTAATCAGTGATTTAGGAACACTGGCGATGTCAGTTCATTTATCAGAAAAACAAGAGTCATAATCGTATTCCTCCTGTGTGCATTTATATTCTGAAATATTGAAACTTTCTTCAGTGTCTTTAGCTGGCTTATTTCTGCAGAACTACCTGTTGTCCACCACTATTATTTGGCCTCCAGAGTAAATGGTAATGATGCAGAGCACAGTTTTAGCTTGGTTGTTATGTGTACACAGCGATTCTTCTGTATAGGCACAGAACTTCAACCATTTGATCTTGCAGCATCGTCAAATTAATTTAACAGCTAGTCCAGCTCTTCTTCCACGCTTCAGACATCTTCACCTTGCCTGTTCTTTGACGCTGGACCTCCACACTGCACACTCTTTTCCGTTTGTCTCTGCTAAATTTACCACTCTCTTCTTCTTGTATTTTGATTTCCACATTTTTTTGTCTTGTGTCATCATCAGTCTCTTTTTCTGGATTCCTGTGCTACCCTGTTCTGTGTAAATTCTGCTTGGGCCATGGTAGTGAGTTCAGTATCACATGTGAACATTAAGCTGTTTGCCATCATGCTACATAGCATGGTTTGTCCCTTTCAGATCTGTTTGAAACTCATTATTTCTTCCAATTTTGAATTGAACAGATCTGAAAAGAGCATGCATCCTTGCCTAGCCCTTTGTCAAACAGAGCCGTGCTGTGCCTTTCTTCTGTATTTCATGGCGTTCATTAATTCCTCTGGATGTTTTCTTCCGGCTGATCAGATTCTTACCAGTGTCTGGCATTCTCCAAAACTGTCGTTTGACTGTATGTCAAGAATGTAAGATCAAAAGAGCTAAAGAGAGTTGCAAAAGCAGGACAAAGCCTTTAGGTTAGTGATGAAAGACATTAAATACTAAATGAAATGTTGTTGGATGAAATGCAACATTGGAAACCCACATGTAATAGCCTAATCAGAGTCCTAGTTCTAGATGTTCAGCTCTTTCTCCAGTTACAGTGTAGCTAGGAAGAAGTTCCTAGCTTGTTACTGTATGAAATGCCCAGAACAGGGCATTTTCTCTCTTGTGAGGTCTCTCTTGTGCATTGGGGCTTCACCCTGTGCTAAATGCTTCAGCATCTGTCAGTGTGTTGTCTTAGAGCCGGCTATAGCCTTGCTTGGAAGAGGTGTCTCTTGCTTGGAGAGACATCAAGCTCTGGTCCACTTAGACGCTATTGGGCAGCTGTCCAGACCTCTTCACTTAGGTAGTACCACCTGGAGAAGCACAAGGCCAGGAGGTGCCAAAAAATGAGTTAGTATTAATTAAAAAAACAGCTAGCTGGTGGTGGGCTATGCATGACTTGGCCTGTTCTCAGTGTGCAGCATTGAATACAGAAGATCCTACTTCCATTAAGAGCAATCTCTTGTAAGTTTAATGTTTTTGTGCTGTTAACAGCAGTCAAGTTATCTTTTTCAAGTGTTCCTCACAGTGATAAAATATCTCAAAAGGCAGATTTCCTACCATTTAAGAATAAAATTTTACTGCTGCAAAAGGTGCTTTTTTTTTTTAATTAAAATTTGTGGCAGTGACTGCCATCTTCAAGAATAGGAGCTTGGGATTTTAGATTAATTTTTTTTTCAACTTGCTGGTGTCACTTTTCCAGTGTGCAGAAACTGTGCTTTGCAGGTGGTCTTACCAGATATCTTAAGATATTTCTACAGTTGTTTCTCCTCAACTCATTAAGCTCTGACCACGGAATGCTTTTCTCATTATTTGCGCAACATACTTTGAGTACTTTTTGAGTATTAATAGTTGGTTTTAAGTGTTGAAATTGTAGTTAAAGGCAAAAAAAAAAAAGTATTTAGGTGTCTTGTCCTAAGTAACAAAATAAGTGCCCTTATTTTTCAAGTATTCTGATTATCACTTTAGAAAACTATAGTATATATAATGGATAATTTATGATTCTTCAGCTGAATGTAAGATTTCAGTACTAGGTATTTGTGGTGTAATTCATCTAGAGCAGAATTCACTGCCTTAGCAATTTCTGAAGAAACAACAGGTCTTGAAAAGACTTAAGACACAATAAAAATCCTAACAAAGTAAGACAGAATGATTCTGTGAGTGTGCACCTCTAATTTGTAAGAAAAAATACAGCCTAGGAGCAGGAAGAAAGAAGAGAAATGTCACCTTTATGAAGACTGCTAGAGGATTTGGGACTGTTCCAGAGGAAGATACTTTGCTTTTTAAATTTTTACTTCTTTGCCCACTCAGGATGAGTAAAAGCAACAATAATGTCACCCTCCCACATTTCCCTCTGTGGTTGCTTCAAACCATCTTTCTTGCAGACCTAAAAGCGATGCTTCAACTGAAGGTTTGGTGACAGTACTGAGCTTTTGGGAAAGGAGCAGGACTGGACTCCTGTATTAAATCAGAGTCAGTGTGACCTGGTTTCTATCAGCAGAGAAGTTCCTCTTTTGAAGGCTTGAGTTTTTAAGACAAGTTTGAGATTAATGTAGCATCCTAAAATGAAATTGAGTAATAAGATGAATGTCTGAGACTATCAAAGACTACCTATGTCTCAGAAATCAAGCAGAGTTCTAGGACAGAAGCACCCTGCCACAGTGAGTGGGTTTTTTTGTTTCTTTAACTCTGAGAATATTCTTTTGCATCATTAGCAGATGGAAGTTACTTGTTCTCTCACAGCTCTAGAGCCAGCTCAAAACTACAGGAAAGATTTTGTAAGGGGCCACAGGATATCTGGCAGCATTCGTGACTGCGCTCTTCTACTTTCAGCCTGTGTTTTCCGAGACATAATGTTTAAAAAGTCTCAGATCCAGTACAGTGCTGTAAGAAAGATGTTTAAAAGTGCACGTTAAAAATTCAAGTGTTAAGCAATTATATAACCATTTCCAGAGAATATATGCACCACCCAACTGGCATGTAACAATTACCATATAAAATGGCAAATGTTTTTCAGCTTACTGAGTGTTATTGGGAAATTTAGATATAGAGGATTAATTCATTATTTTCTAAAGTAATTCAGAGGTGTTTGAGGATTGGGATGGGAAAGAGGTTAGCTACAATGATAAAGAAAATCCTGGTAGGAAGTTTTTAGAGATCCTAAAATATACTTGTTTCTTTCAAAACCATGCTCAGAAATTAATAACTTTCATTAGAAAAAAAAAAAAAGAACTCCCTCGCTCTTCTACTTTCAGCCTGTGTTTTCCGAGACATAATGTTTAAAAAGTCTCAGATCCAGTACAGTGCTGTAAGAAAGATGTTTAAAAGTGCACGTTAAAAATTCAAGTGTTAAGCAATTATATAACCATTTCCAGAGAATATATGCACCACCCAACTGGCATGTAACAATTACCATATAAAATGGCAAATGTTTTTCAGCTTACTGAGTGTTATTGGGAAATTTAGATATAGAGGATTAATTCATTATTTTCTAAAGTAATTCAGAGGTGTTTGAGGATTGGGATGGGAAAGAGGTTAGCTACAATGATAAAGAAAATCCTGGTAGGAAGTTTTTAGAGATCCTAAAATATACTTGTTTCTTTCAAAACCATGCTCAGAAATTAATAACTTTCATTAGAAAAAAAAAAAAAGAAACCACAACATAAAAAAACCCTTATAGGCATGGCTGAATAGCTATAGCAAAGCACGGAATCCAGTTCATTTGCAGGATATTGACACACAAACTAATTGAAGGCTGCAGAAAGCACTGGTTGCTAAGCATTGCAAAAGTAATTGACTTAATCCAGAATTTCCAGCTCTGATTATTTTGTTTTATCTGATACAATGTAATGCCCTGTAGCATGACCAGCTAGCTTGGTTAATTTCATTGAAAGAAAACAACGGAATCATTTTACTCTGCTTAACTCATTTGCATTTGAAGTATTCCTTGCATGGATAAAATGCTAAGATTGAAACTAAAAGTACTGATTGGAGGTGCCTAAAGTTAGTCCCCTAAATCAGCTGTTCAGCACATTGGTAAAAACTGTGAAGAAAGTATGCAAATGCTAACAAAACCATGGGTAGTTACCGTTTCTCTATGGTATGCTTCTATGGTATGCCCTGAGGTACTTATTCTCTACACCCAGGGTTCTTACACATCTGTACCTACTTAATGTAGCAAGACAAGATTCCTTCCTGCAGTGCCAGAAAGCTTTGCCTCTGCTGCGTCTGGAGGGGAGGTCAGGTAACAGCTGGCCTCTGCCTTTGTTTTCTGCAGAAATTAAAAGCCATCAAACCTTCACAAAGTGATTCTGGGTGGATAAGAGATACAGAAATTCAATCTGAATGTAAAGATGTTTTTTTAAAGGAGTGTTGGTTTTAGATGCCTGATACAGCTACTTGTATTAGGAAAATAGATGTATGGGAAAATCCAGTGTAGACAAGACAGGTGAGCACATCTCTCTCTTAAACAGGCAGAAAAGGTGCTGATGGTTCTGGGTTTAAATTGCTTTGGCTTTCAATTTTGAGGTCCATCGCAGAGGTCTTCTGTGAGGTTAGACAATTTACTTCGACATAGAACTGCACAATCACTGAGGTATCTGCATGCCTAAATAAATCCAAAATTTCAGCTTTTCTTTCGCAGTTCTTCATTGGTACAGGGGGAGAGTAGCACCCAGTGCCTTGTGGGGTACTGTGAGAGTCTGAGAGCAACTTGGATACACTTATGACTGAGCTGTGTAATTAGCAAAGACAGCACATGTATAAACAGCCCTGGGTGGGGGGAGGAGGGAGAGACACCGGTGACTCTTAAGTGCCTTTTTTTCTTTCTAGCTACTTGGAAAAGTCACAAATGGAGACCCAAATAGGAGGCAGGGTTAGAGTAAGAACCCAGAAGTGTATGCAAGGAATGGGGATTTTTAGCATTACACCCTGCTGGGACTGCCCAGAAGTGCCATAAAGACAAGTACACCTGCGCTACTCTTGCAATGTATTTAACTTCTGCTAAGCTCAAAGTCCTGATTAGTGTTTTTTTCTTTGCAGGTATTTTTATGGTCCTTTCTCTCCTGTCAATTGTATATGGTGCTTTACGCTGCAACATCCTGGCTATTAAGATTAAGTATGATGATTACGATGTCAGTGTGAAACCAGCTGCCTACCTCTGCATCTTCATGTGGAGAAGCTTTGAGATTGCTACGCGAGTTACAGTGTTGGTCCTTTTCAGTTCAGTCCTTCAAATCTGGATTCTGCCTGTTGTGCTCGTGAATTTCTTTGGTTTTTTCTTCTACCCGTGGATCCTCTTCTGGCAAAGCAAGTCCCCGTTTCCTGAGAACATAGAGAAGGCATTGAGCAGGGTTGGCACTACCATCGTCTTGTGCCTTCTCACCTTCTTGTATGCCGGCATTAACATGTTCTGCTGGTCGGCAGTGCAGGTGAAGCTCAATGATCCTGACTTAATTAACAAATCCCAAAACTGGTACCGACTGACGGTGTATTACATGCTGCGATTCATCGAGAATGCGTTCCTCCTGCTGATGTGGTACATCTATAAAACCGATGTCTACCTGTATGTCTGCGCCCCGTTGTTGGTCTTGCAGCTCCTGATCAGTTACTGCATGGCTGTCCTCTTCATGTTGGTCTTCTACCAGTTCTGCCACCCATGCAAAAAGCTTTTCTCATCCAGCATTTCTGAAGGTTTGCTGTCCTGTTTCAAGTTCCTCTGCTTTATTTGCAAGCCTTCCACATCCACCATGCTAATGGACAAGGCAGAGGTGAAATGTCCTGAAAATACTGATGACACACGGAGCAGTAGCAAGACAATAGATTCTCAAAAGGGGATTTCTCATCAAAGTGTTTCTTCCAATGCCTAATATAACTGGAAGCAAGTAGGTGCCTTCGGAAGGTGGCAGATCACCTGCTGGGAACATTGTGTATGTTGGACATCGTGTCTTGTGGATGGGATATCTTTCTTGCAGGTGCAGCACTGCATGATGACTGACAAGCGTATCTTTGTGGAAACTTTAGTGTCTGAGTATGTGTATCTGTGTGTGTTTGTATACAGAGAGCAATCATGGTTTGGAGACTTCTGTTTCAGAGGTTTTTGCACATAGGTTTATTATCACGAGCTTATTTTGAAATCATTATAGGAGACATCCTTGAAAAACTGGCCTGATGCCCATCTTACTCAGGAAATCTGAGGATGGAAGGAAATGCATTTTATTTATTTCAGGTAGGATGTCCTTACGGCATGCCACCCTAGCATGGAAACAGAGCATAGACCTTGACTATATAGTGACTGTAGCTGTGGTCTGCTTTGATCAAATTGCAGACTTTTTTACACTCTAATCAGTGTAATTAGATAATACGTCTCTCTGTGGGATAAGAATTGGACTTCCACAATGCACTGTAGTCTAGGTTGCCAAGAAACAGCCAATTAGCCAGCACTAATACTGAAATGCGACTGTTACTGAGAACAGCCAGAGGGCTATTGGTTTTGCACTGTTTTACCCTTCATATTTGCTGCTTGTTAGTAAGGGTATTAAATTTAACACCCTAATTCTGAAATAACTTATTTTTCTGACTTAGTAATTTATCTAATTCTTTGTGATGTTCTGGTGTTAGGGTGATGTTCACTTTATATAACTTTAAATATCTAGAAGTTGGGCAGAGAGTGTGAACTAGTTATGTAGGTGCTCTCCAGAGCATACCTCCAGGGAGTAATTAAACCGATCTTTAAATGTTCTCTGAGGCAGGTGATATGAATCATTCTCGGGAGACCTATTACTCAGCATTAACCAGATGCCTTGACAATTAGTTTTGACTCTGTCTCTCTTTAAGATGGCTGAAGTTCAGAGATGAGCACTGCCTTGATTGCCAGGGGGTTTGTAGTACGCCAAGCCGGCAACTCAGTGGCTTGTTACATGGACATAGAAGACACTGAGTCTTTCTTTTTGAGGCTGTGATATATTATGGTTAGTTTAATATTGATAGTTCAAACCTCTCTGACTGCTTTACCTCAGAAGTACCACAGGCTTGAAATCCGAAAGAGGAAATGGAAGTCGTTGACTTTTTCTTCTATGCACTATATCACCACAAATAAAAGTGTTTCTGTATTTTACAAGTTGCTCAGAAAGTTTTAGCAGATGAACAACCAAGAATTTAGTGGAAATTTAGAAAAAACCACACAACTGTATTTTCAAAAATTAAGTGAAAGCTTTTTGCACTTTATTTGCTTGGCACCTTGCATTTCTTTTGAGTATTAGACATTATGGCTGCTACTGGAAACAAATAATTCATGACCCAAAACATCTCCTATTGTCTTAAGCTTAGCCTCCATCCTATTGTCATGGAGGATGTGAAGTTCTTCAGTAGGAAGGACATCAGCATCATTCTTATTAGAACTGTCTCAAGTTTGGGTCTGAGATCACTTATAATGAATGAAATATGTCACATGCAATGCTGCAAAGCATTGTCCTAAGCTTAGCCTCCATCCTGTTGTCATGGAGGATGTGAAGTTCTACAGTAGGAATGACATCAGCATCTTTCTTATTAGATCTGTCTCAAGTTTGGGTCTGAGGTCATTTATAATGAAATATGTCACATGCAATGCTGCAAAGATCTAAGCTGTTTTTATTTTTTTCTTTACTGCACTGTAAATGAATGTCTTCATAAATCAGTTTTATAATGGAGTTATGTTTTTTACTTTGCTTAATATGTATCTCTGTGTGATATGTGTATGTAGACCTCATTATGTTATTGGTGGGTGGTAATGGGAATTTTTGGCCTGAGCTTGCCATGGGAATGTACCTCACGTATCTGGGGAAGGCACCAAACCTCTCAGTTTTAATTTCTCTCTCTCTGAAGACACTAGAGTATTTCTCTCTATTTCTGTGTGTAGAAGTACAGTATAGTATTTCTCTGTACTTTTTTAGATGTAGAAGAGTATTTCAGAATATTTTTTTTTTGATAGTGAATCTGAACAAGTGAGAATGTAATCCTTGCTTCCAAACCTGCAAAGTTCAGCACATAAGGCCAAATTTTCAGGTGTTCTTTGCTAAAACTAAATATCTGACTTTATAGTTGGATACTCATCAATAATCAGGGAATTATGGTTGTTGCCTATCTACAGATGTACCTAGGTCTGAAATGTTAGGCTCAAAAAATAAAAAACTGAAAAATAAAGGTGGCTTCATACATAGAAGTATTTCATATCTAAAGAGAGAGCTCTCAGATCCTTAAAGCAAACTTTGGATGGTGTAAGTGATTATGTGATTTTGCCATTTGGAAACAATGGAAGCTTTACAAACCTCAGCCAGTGAAATGCTTGTGCTACAGTGAAAAGTCTACAGTAGGAGAGTTACACAGCCAGGAGTTCAGTATGTATACGTAGGGAGAACCATTTCACTTCACATACCAATCATGAAGACTACTGTATATGCATATTTTTAGAGAGTGTGCCATAGTACTTCCTATTTTTATACCAGTCTCCTGAAGTGCATGCGTAGGGAACTGAATATTTAAATCACTGTTATGAGAGAAAAAAATAATAGAGGAAAGAAAAAAAGAAAGATTTGTATGAGTTCTGTTACTGTCATATGGTTTTGCCTTAGTTGTGCAGACTAACCAAATGCAGTTTAACACTCCAGAGCCCTTGCTTTTGCTGTGCCTCGTGTCACCACAGCACAGAGCGCAGATTAGCTAACAGTGTTGCTGCTCTATGTGTGTTTTGATCTAGCTGTGCTGCCCTTACTGGTGGAAAGAAGGAACGAGAGGGGGTCATAGAGACAAAGCTACTCCCTTAAGACCAGTGTTTTAAAGGACAAGCTTGTTTTTCTGAAGTGTGCTGCGGCGCTAGGAGAGGCAGTTTTTATCAGGGCAATGAGAGTCTAAGAAAGTGTTGTTATCAGTACACCCCGTGGCTGCACTGAGAGGATAGTATTAGCCACAAAGGATGTGTGTGTGTGAATGACAGATCTCTTGCTGCAAGTTTACTGCAGTTTTACTCTCCTCTATGAATGTTAGAGGCGTATGTGTTCAGTGGAAGGGTACAAGGCTACTGTTAAAAACTGTGCTCGCTAGAGTAGTCCTGAATCACACAAAGGATTGCTCAATAAGGATTATTCACATGTGTAAAAGATCTGATACATAGGTTTTCTTTTATACTTGTAAAACAACACAAATTAAAATGTTGAAACACTTCCTTAAGTTGTGTTGGGATTAGTTCTTAGTCCTCTGCCTTCAGAAATTCAAGGCAAAGGTTATATAGCACTGTCATCTGTCACTGCAAAGTAGAAGAAATGTTTTCAAGCAGACCTGACAGAAGAAGAATCTGTGGTTTGATGTGGGAGTTCCTTACCCCCAACCAGTGGTGCTTCCAATGCTGTTTAGCTGGTTGGGGTCTCGGAAGAAAATTTTGTAGGAGGCAGGCGGTTTGAAAGACCAGTGTTACAAGATTGGTATAGGTTATTTATTGTCAGGATGAGAATATTGAGTTGATTTACATTGAGAATCAGAAATAAATCATTACATTATAAAGGATCTTTCAGCCTTTTTCTGCACCCTTGTTTCATGCTTATCTGGATTTACCGTATGCTTGCCTCTGACCTTGGGAACAGCCAGCAAAATCTATTGTGGAGACACATGAATGCATAAAAACTGTATGGCTGTTATAAACACTGTTAAGTGTTAAGTGTTTATAAACTTGTATAGATAAAATACACATATATTTTATAAATATGGGTGCAAATAGACACATTGTAGCAAATTGTAATGTGTGCACATCACTTAAGAGGAGCAGTGAGAAAGGAACTTAGAAGGCCTGGTGGTGATGGACACCACTATCTGCTAGCAAGAGCTGTGCTCCCTAAAACATAGAAAGTAATTAATCCTTTCTTAGAGACATTATTTTTAGTTTCAAGGGATGATTTTTGACATGAGTACCCAGCATATGGGTTCTTTTAATCAAATGTAGATTAAAACCTTAATGAAAAATTTCAGATTTAGGCACAATGTTGATTGTCAACTTTTGTTTCCAACATGGTTTCTTAAAGAAAAGCTGATGTGACCACACTGTTTCTCTGTCAGCCCTGTTCTCCCCAAAACATATGAAACTCATTGGACACATTGAAACTAAATTTTTCTGAGGGAAGCTGTCTGAGGAAATAAAGTAGGTTTATACAAGCTTTGTGAAGACTATCAGCTTCCAGGAGGAAAACAAGGGAATTGATAAAATGCCTGAGGTATCTGCTTTGGCCTCCTTGCTGAGAAAGCAATCGGCATGCTTTAGGTGTTATAAACCTGTGTATCATCAGAGATCCACATCCTGCTACCTCTTGCCCTTAGCATGAAAGAGGACTAGAAGTTGTGAGGGTGAAGAGATTAAGAGGGGAAGAGGATGTGATAAAGTCATGGGAGGTAATAAAAGCCACTTCAGTTGAGAGGATGCAGTATGGACTCTACATTATACTTCTGGTATTTCACTGAATTTCACTGAATTTTTAGAGTTGGAAGGGACCATAGAGATCATCTAGTCCAACTCCCCTGCCAAAGCAGGACCACCCAGAGCTTGTCAGAGCATGTTACTCAGGACTGCATCCAGGCGGGTCTTGAAAATCTCCAAAGAAGGGGACTCCACAACCTCCCTGGGCAGCCTGTTCCAGGGCTCCGTCACCCTCACTGTGAAAAAATTCTTCCTCATATTCAAGTGGAACCCTTTATGTTCCAACTTGTGCCCATTGTTCTATTGATTGCAGAACAACTTATTTAAAGTATGTTGCTAACCATTCTAATAAAAGACAGGTTTTTGTTAGACTTGAAAAATGCATGACAACAAAAATGAACCCTTTTTAAAAAAGATTGATTATTTGCAAGCTTATCTTGTGGCATTTGCAGCCTGACTCAGAACTGGTGAATACTTGGGGCTGGTAAACTGTAATCTAATTTTTAAAAAAAGTAAAAATTGGGTGGGGTTTTTTAATTCCCCAATAGTTCCTACATTTTTTCCCATGCAGCTGATAATATCCAGTCTACGAACAATAAACCGTTCTCTGTTACTTCTTGCCTATTTGAAGGGCTTATGTACCAAAGAAAACAGGATTTTGAATTGAGATGTTTGCAAGCCAAACATCATAGTAGATGTATATATAATCCTACATTTCAAAATGCAGTTGAGGTGACTGCCTGTAGTCACTCAGGAATCATCACAGAAACATGAATATACAGTAATTTGCCAGAGATGGTAAGTTTGATTTACTGGAGACAGAAGACTTGAAAAGTAAGAGGTGTTAAGGACTATGTAAGTCTTACTGACCAAGGAAAATGATTATAACAAAACTGTTAGGTCTCCTGGGTTCGCTCCAAAACTGACATTGAAATGAAAGGTAAGTGCTTCAAAATAATTACTGAATCCCTCTCTTGAATGAACTTCGTATCCTGGAAAAGAAGAGCAGTTTTATCCTTTTCTGTATTTCTCAATCGTAAGGAAAATCTCTTGCCACTAAATTCAGTTTTACAGAAATAAGTGTCTGTGTTCAGGTATGAAAATTTTGCCTCTCACATGTGAAATTCAGATGTAAATGCTGCTGTGTGTAAAGGCTTCTAATCACAGACTAGAGTTAATGGGTAAATACATCTAAGCAGGGGACAAATGCTAATTAGTTGGATGTTGCTTACCAAGATTCTTCTGGAATAACATCATCGTTGTAACATTTTGGCCCTGAAGGTGAAAACTGATTTAATGAACTAGAAACAGCCTCTGAAACGCGTGTTCTGTTCTTTCACGTTTGTAATTGTTTAAGTTCCTATCTTGACAGAGCAAACAAAGTGGCAGGGAATAAATGTTACAGACATTAACTTCTGAAAGTTCTTTCATCAGGTATTCTTTTCATCTGATTAAGGTGCTGTGTCAGTACAGAGCTTTAATCAGCCACAGATACTTACAGGAAAATGATCAGGGCTGGATTCAGACGGAGAGCAATGCCAGAGGTAGTCAGGGTGAAGATTAATTCGTATCTGGATCCTAGAGCGGGAGCTAAATACCAAACCAGCAGCACAGCATCTTACAGGCAAGGTGCCAGTGTTGCATTTTATTGTGTTCGTGTGGATTTGCAGTTCTCGTAAATCTGTGTTGTAGTAAGATGGGCGTTAAGCATTGCAGCTAGCAGGAGAGGTAC